AATACATTCAGTTAACACACATTCACCACTGTGTTTGACCCACGACTATAAGGTGGAATCATGGGAGTTTGGTTTGTGATGTTGGAGACTGTGGGTCCAGTGCACAGCTACACACACACACACACACACACRCASACACACACACGCACGCACACACGCACGCACGCACGCACGCACGCACGCACGCACGCACGCACACAGTGCCTATGATACAACTGTGAGCGTGTTCGCAGGTCGCTAACTGTAATGGAAACATCAACGCCAACGAACTAAAATAAGGAGAGTGAAGGAAAAACGGCCTGACCTTCTCTCTACAGAGAGAAAATAACTGCTGAGATGAGACTAAAGTAAAATTTCAAAAAGCCAATGTGTCGCTGTCCCGGTGCGTCCTCTTTACTTCAAGCACAATTTGCCAGTTTTTACTTAAATAAAAAATAAAGCTCAGACTAAAACTCTCGTTTCCTCACGATTTCATCAGAAAAGTTTTGGATTTCTTGCGTTTCTTTTCAGTATGAGTAACATACTGTTTTTTCTTTAAATACAATCTGTAGTTCAATTATTGTTTTTCATTCACATAAAAGTTAAGGGAAGAAAAAACATTCTTTAAAACACAGACAGACACAGGATACAGCACAGCGTGTACGCACATGACAGCCTTTCTCTTTCTAGGTGTGTGAAACTACACATGCATGCACTTGTGTACACGACCTTCCTCTCACGCACACTGACGGCGTTCAACTCCCTCAAAACACAGAAAACACGGAGCTGGCTTTGGTTTGCCGCGCAGCTTTTGTTCGACGTACTGCCAGGGTAAGTGGGCGTGTTTCTTACAGCGTCTGAACTGCTCTCACATGCAGCTCGGTCAAACAGTTTGACTGAAAGTACACAAACGGACGAACAACAAGAGCACAGAAACCATGATGAGCGATACAGGGCGGCCTATTATAATTCCTGGAGAGGTCAGAATCTGGAAAAGTTCAGGAGGTCTCATTCCACGTTTCTTTAAATACCGTGTCTTTGCTTGAAGGTTTTTTTTTTTAAATTTGTGAATGCATGACGTTGTATGTGCTCGTGCGTCTAAGCTGCAGTCTCGTCTCCGAAGTAGGAGAAACCTTTGAACTCATCTTGGTTGATCTGCTTGATGATGCTGTCCTCCACCGGCGTCAGGACGGGTTCTTCGCGAGTAAAGTCCTGGTCAAAGTTGTTCACGTCCCTTTTGGTTTTCTGGGAGACAAAGAACGAGAGCGAAGGTTCGGGTCAAATGTTGCGTATTTATTTTTTATGATCAATAAAAAAGCTGTGTGGACTCACAATGCGTGGTTTGAACGGCGGCCTGATCTTCCTCTGCTCCAGCAGCGTCCAGTCGATCTCTCTGAAGAACGTGTGGAGCTTAATGGCGTCTTCAAGACCCTGAGCCACCACACAGCCCAGACGCTTGTTAGGACTCTTCGTCATGAACTGAAGAGCGATGGAACGAACAGGAAGGACAGAAGAAGAGAAGGGAGAAAAGAAGTGGTTATTTTTCTAGTGTTAAAGATATTTAATGAGTTTGATGAACTGTGAATAAAATATTCACTTTAAAAAGAAACATAACCAATGACTGAATGTGTCAGGGTCCCACTGATACACCTGCACAACCAATCCTGAGTCAGTCTCAGCTGTCACTCAGGACGTCTCAGCCCGTTTTCACTGGTGTAAGATCTGATGTTGCCTCCAAAATGTTTCCTCTGCTGCTGTTTCAGACTGATTCCCTCTCTGAGGGGACTTGAGTTGAGTAAGCTTATTGAATTTAGCCATATGTTTTCATATTTGACTCCTCCCAACCCAAACAATAGACAGGAAGCAGGCTGCTATGAACAGGATCTCCAAATAAACTCAAGTCTCCCAGCAGCGCGACATCATCAAATAACTAATTGAAACCAAACTCATCAGAAACACTACACACTTTACATCAGTGTGATGAGAACGACCTAAACTTACAGAACCTGTTCAACAAACACTTTACTTTGTGTACTATACTGTCGCCAGACACCAGGGGGCGATCAAGATGTTTTGGCTATGCAGTCTTTAGAATTGAGTTTGGTTGCACGAGCCTGTTGGGACCCGACTACACCTGAAATTGTAATTGTGTCGGATTCGGATGCAAAAAAACTAAATACCTCCTTAGTTCGTATGTTGAGTTCAGATTTCAAACTAAAAGTCGGAGTAAGATGTGTTTTCAGTCAGTCCCTTAGAGTTCTCCTTCTGGATCCAAACCCAGAGGTTCTGGTGAATCCTTGGGCCAAAATCTGATTTAGGGCTTCTAGTATTTTCAAAAGTCGTTTTTTAAAGAAATGTCTCACTCTGGTTGTAAGTTGCCTCAGGGCTCAGGTCTGATTTCTTCTCAGTGTCAGTACAGATTTTCTCACAGGCCTGAAGCTGTGAGACCTCAACCTGGTCTGTGCCTGAATCTTTTAAAAGATTCTAAACGTCTATAAAAATCTATCTTTCATTTCTAATCTATTCTGGATTCTCTGAAATAACTGGGTGTTGAACAAACTGCTGAGTCAGACTGAGCTGAGAGAGTTTATCAAGCGACTCAATGCCCTTCATCTGGATGACGCGTCCAATCACAGCCCAGCGTGCACTGACTGGCCAGAGTCCAACACATCGTCCAACATAAACACACACACTTTCCCACAAGGCTTTGCATTCAAAGCGCACCAACAGCCAAGGTAAACGCAGGGCTTGTGATGGAAAAACTGGACGGACAAATAAACAAATGGACGACAAGTGGCACTCAACACACACACACACACACACAATAACACACAGTAACACAAAAAAGTCATGGAATCAAACACAGAGGAAATTATCCAATGTACTTCCAGCAAAGGAACAGGAAGCTCAGATCAACATGTGACACTGAGGGAAAAAACCCTCGGACAGTGAGAAAGAGACAAACACAAAACAGAAGAACGCAGAAAAAGACGTGAACACGAGATTCTACGAGTTCTTCACGGATCCTCAGTTTGAATCTGTAACAGCCCGTTAGTCCATGAAGGCTGGATATTGTTTCAGTGTTTCACGATGTGCAGTTTTATTCTAACACAAGAGAAATTAAGTTAATACTTCGATGTTTGTGAACTCGGTCATGAGGTCACCAAGTGTCCTTTGTTAATCTGATGGTGCACGAGGAGTTTCTCTCAATGTGGCACAAAGTTTTAAAGGATCGATGTTTCAGATGCAGCAGAAAGACCAGTTTGCAAATCTGCTCCTCACTGATAACGACTCTCCATCGTCCAGCTCATGGTTTTCCAAGAAAAGTTAAATCAAGGGCAACAGAACTTGGTTGAGGACACTTGAAAAAGTGTTTCAGTGAAGTCATATTGTTTCGGCTGAGAACGGAAGAAGACTCTTGGATTAGAAACGAAAGATTAAAATCCTAAATCCATTTGTCCAAGATTCAACAAATGAGGAATTTTGTTTGTTTTGTCCCGATAGCCGGACGAGTTTATTTCAGTTAAACTGTATCTATCAGATAATGAGTTAAAACAGACTCTTCATTTAAACCTAAGTAGACAAAGGAACATTCATTTCTCAACTGTTCCTGAAGTCAGACTAAACTCGCTGTGTGAGGTCCTGAAGAGCAACATGAGTCATCTAAATCAATAAATCTTCATTTCGTTTGCTGCTCGCTGAGATAAAGCAGAAACAGAGCAATCTTCCCCCTCAGAACTCTGGGTAACTGACCGCTCGCAGAATGGACACCGCCTCCTTGCTGAGCCAGACGGGGTAGAGGACGTCATCGTGGAGGATCGACTCAAACAGGTCGTCTTCGTTGTCGGCCTCAAACGGCGGCTGACCCGCCATCATCTCGTACATGAGCACGCCCAGAGCCCACCAGTCCACCGAGGGGCCGTAATCCAGCTCCTGAAGGATCTAAACACACCAGAGACAAATATCACGATTATTCAAGAAGTAAAGTTTGAAGAAATTCAGTCCTGAGATGGAGAGTAACGTGATGTGAGCTGGCTGATTTAATTTAGGAATGTTTTATCATATTTAGCACAAAACTAAAACCCGCAGCCGACTTTGAAGCACTGAACTTAAAAATACAGCAGAACATCTTCTGCAAAGAGGCGAACACTGTCAACAAAGTCAAGTCTCCAGACAGAGAAACATTTTGCCGATTTCCTCCGTTAATGCTCGACTGAAACTTAGCAATTTCCTCTTTTCCCTGAAAGCTGTAAAGATTTCATTCGTGTTGTTGGGTGTCACCTCAGGTGCGATGTAGTCTGGTGTCCCGCAGAAGGTGGTGGTGGTGACTCCGTCGAGGATTCCCTCTTTGCACATCCCGAAGTCTGCCAGCTTACAGTGACCCTCTGCATCCAGTAGTATGTTGTCCAACTTTAAGTCTCTGCAGAGCGGGAAGGTCATAAAGGTGATAAATGAAACAAGCCAGGGACATTTCATGATCGGAAAATAACACATATCTCATGTGCTCTACGCGTGATTACGTAATGACTCTCATGGGTTCACAGGGTTCTTGCCACTGAAAACAAATTGGGCCTCATGGTTTATCTGCAGCGGAGGAAGGAGGAGGCAGAGAAAAGAGAGAAAGTCGAGGGTTGAAAGAGAGAGAGAGAGAGAGAGGGGGATGGAGAGAGAGTCTGAGAGATAAGAGCAGCAGTGCTGACAGACGACAGGGTCGGTCATGAATACAGTCGCTCTGGGTTTGATGGTTGATCGCCACAAAAATGTCAACATCTTCCCTGTGCAGCGTCTGCAGCCATTCAGAACGAGGTGTTTTCAAAAGTGCAGCCGCCCCGACGAGCCAGGGAGGAGATGGAGCGTGTGTGTGTGTGTGTTTAAGTCAAGATGTTGTGTAACTGTTCTGTTTTTGTAATCCCCCAAAATATGAAAGGCAGCATAACAGGCTTTTTTTGAGAGCTGCTGTGATCTGTTGTTGACCTGTTCTTTTCTGTCCCACCATGCTTTGCTCTGACAAGTTACTGAATGCACTAAAGAAACTTGTCAGGTTAAATGAGGTTTTGATTAAGCATAACCTTGATGCATCGTACCTCTGGGCAGTGAACGGATGGTTATACCCCCCCCCGGGTGCGTGACACTCAGGTTCTGAGTATCAGTGTATCTGTTCTCATCTGGACTTGAGATATTTTACCCAAACCAGCAGCACTTGTTCTCCAGACGACAGATAGAGATATAAACCTGTGACCCGCCCCCCCGGCTCCCTGTTTGCATCCCTCTCCTCCAGGCGACTCCTCGCACATTAAATCTGAACGTCTGCAGCGAAGCAGAGGAATAACATGAATTTAATGCATTTGTGATTGAATTCAAATGGCTACTGACATTAATCTTAGTATTAAACATCACCTGCAGCAGTAAATTCAATATTAAGTGGCTGCAGGTGCAGCAGCACTAATGGAATGATATTTATTCCTGTGGAGACGTTTGTTGTGGTTTTGTAGAACGAGAACTGGACGTCAACAATTAACCAACAAGAAAACATATATCTGTGTTGATTTTCCCATTTACATCATCATTTAATTATTGTAAAAATATTTAATAACCTTCTCCATGTTATTTATTTCTCTGCAGAGCTATTATTTGGTCTTTGTGTTACTTATTTTTATGATTTATTGTCGTGGCGTGGTCAGTGTTGATGAATACACAACATACTTTAAGTTTCTTTGCTCTCAATCAACAGGTAGTTTATTAAGATGAATGATCATAAAGCCTAAAGAATGAATTTTATTAAAATTACACGCATGTATTTTCGAATTCATCAGCTCACGATTGGAATGAGTCTTTCTAATGTTGTTTTATAAATCAAAACCAAAAATAAGCTAAAGATTTAGTATGAAAAGATTCCTTCATCCACTTTAGTGCAGTAACTCAACCATTCATTTTAGAAACTCGTTAAAGAAATGATCAAAGGCAGATCAAGGAAGATATTGTCTGGGTTTGTTGGAGCGTTTTTAAATAGAGACGTGATTTAAATATTTTAGTGGTGATATGAACAAGTAATATTTCACACATCAGTGAGTGAGTCTTTTTCCCCAAACTCAGAGCAGACGGATGTTTTAAATTAAGGGTTAGAGGCTTCCAGCGACACGATTCTGCAACAATGGAATAGGTTTGAAAAAACCAGAGTGACCTCAGAATGAATAATATCCTTTTACAGAATATACTGTGTTGTTAGTGAATTTAGGATTAACAACGCGTTAAAGGAAACAAATCGTTCAATAACATCATCATCTTTCTCTTAAACCAGAAAAATCACAACATGAACAGGACCAATACAACAGACGTGTCAGGATATTATCACGTAAGTCTGTTGATGTAAAGTTGACGAGAAGAGAAGATAAAGATCTTCTATCAGAAAGATTAACAATCTTTTAATCAAGTGATTGGTGGGGGTTCCTGGGATGAAACTTTGTGGGAACAGTTTCATTTATGCAACAGCTGCAGTTTAACATCTTTCACTGTGTCGGGAAAATCATCCATGAATGTTATTTTAGAGAAGATTCAATTTTACTCAAAAAATCCTGTCAATAAACAGGAGCTGCTCTCACACACACACACACACACACACACACACACACACNACACACACACACACACACACACACACACACACACAAAACCAATCAGGCTCATTTGAGAGCATTTCCTGTGTTTCATGTTGATCTTGAGTGATTTTTCCATTACGTCCTCAAGCAACCCCTGTGCACTGTGACAGCTAACCCCTCTTTCTCTTTCTCTCTCTCTCTCTTTCTCTCTCTCTCTCAGCGCCATCCCTCCATCTCTCCACATGCACCAAACACACATCTGCTCTGACAGACAAACACACACACACAGTTGGAGTATCTGAGGATATAGATATGAATGAAAATATCAGATTTACCACAACATACTTAAGGAGCAAAGTGTGAAATTAAGGGTTCCATTCTACACTAACAGTGAATCCCGACACAGCGCAGACAAAGTTTTTCATGTTCGATAAATCGACTTTGATAAATGACACACTCTCAGTGCAGACTCACTCTTTTTATATTCATGAACTATGTCTCCAAACAGCCTGAACCTACAATGTCTAATGCAAACATCACCTTACATCTGGTCTCGTTGAAAAGAAGGTGAAGAAGATATTCTGCGGCCTACACAAGTTCATTCTTTTCTTTAAAGGGAGGAAGAGTCTGATGGGAAAAAGACAAGAATCAGAGGAGTGATGGAGGAGGGGACGGGGGCGGGTCGGGGAGGGTGGTGGCTGAGAGTCGGGACATTTTGTTCCCAAAACACTTGTTCATTTTATTCTGGTCAACAAAGTGGGTCAGAGAAAGAAAGACGAGAGAATCATAGTGCCGTCAAATCAGCCATCAAGAATCAACACGTAAGGTGTGTGTGTGTGTGTGTGTGTGTGTGTGTGTGTGTGTCTGTGAGTGTGTGTGTGTGTGATTGAGTAATATGTTCTATCTTCACAGCCTGACGGAGATGTTGAAAGACTGAATCATTAATCTTAATGTTCTGTGTTTTAAATTATTTTTGGATGTGAAGAGGAAAAACAATCAATCAATCAATCAACATGTATTTATAGAGCACCTTACAACAACCAAGGGTTGACCACAGTGCTTCACAACTGCAAATCAAACATAGACAAACAGCAAACACGAGACAAGAACAACTGTTTCATTTGAAGGCTAAATCAAACAAGTGTGTTTTTAGCTTGGTTTTGAACAGAGGCAGGTCAGTGGTGGTGCGTAGCTCAGAGGGCAGTGCATTCCAAAGTTTGGGACCTGCTACTGCAAACGATCGGTCACCCCACTGTTTGCTCCTGGATCGGGGGACCTCTAGCAGAGCGGAGAGCTCTGCCGGGCTGGTGGAGCTTCAGGGTTTCGCTTATGTAGGTGGGTGCAACACATCACCTTTACATTAAACACAACTGATTTGATGATGAGGGATATTTATTTATATTGAGATGTTCCATTGGTTCTAGACTAACTCATTCTTCGCCAAGAAGATTGAAAGTAAATCACTCGATTCAATTTTAAGTTCAAGTTAAAACCAGTGTTCCAAACTGTCTGTTAACTTTGTTATTATCATCTATAGTTGTAATCACAGACTCTAAGTAAAGATGATCGACATGACAACTCCGAAGACAGATATCTAAACATCTGGAGAGCCCCCTAGTGGCTGGCTGCAGTATAGGTCATAAATCTCGCCTCCTCCGTGTTAGTAGATGGGAGCCAAATATCCAGAGTCTGTGCTGTAGTGATCGTCAGCTAACATGGAGGAGGCAGGTTTATGACTTATGCGACAGCCAGCCACCAGGGGGCGATCGAGACACTTTGGCTTCACTTTAGGAAGCTGTCACGTCGTCCATCTTTCTTTACAGTCTGTGCTCTTTCAATGTGCAGTTTTTTGTTCTTTCACGTGTTCCTGTGTGTTTTAGTTACAAACTTATGTTGACACTATATTTTCTGCTTTAAAAACCTGTCACCATAAATAAAACCTGAATTATCAGGACTGCGATCAGACTCCAGCCTCTGGTTCTGTGCTCAGACGTATTTCTGGTCTGGACTCGTTTGATTCTGTGAAATAGACTCTGGGTGGAGTCTCACTTCTAGACCTGGTTATGAAGCCAAAACCAATAAACCAACAAACACACAACAATACAGCTGCAGCTTTTGACTTTAACCTTGAAGATTAATGTGGATTAAATTGTGCCAACTGTCACACACACACGATTAGAACCATGATTAGAACCGTGTTCATTCATTAAACCATTGTAACGGAAAGTGTGGGACCATGAGGCACCAGCAGGACGAGTTGATCTGAGATCACGTCGACAAAACAACAAAGAAAAATGTCGATTTTTGTAATTAATGGATTTTACTTCCTCTGTTTTTAAACGGTGCAGAAATAAAGTGACGTGAGGTTTTTGTGATTTTATCCTGAGTCTCGTTATAATTTTATGAAACACCTTGTTTCATCCTGTTTATTGTGTGTTTTACAGCATTTTAACAGTTTCCACATGAACTTATTCAGTCACGTGTCTGTTCTTTATTTTCTATTTATATCTGTTTCACGACGCTAACAACAAACTATTTATTGAGCTGGGAGCACATTACCTCCCTTACGCCAACATGAGCAAGTGTACGTTGTTTTATTAAATGCAGGTGAACTCACTAAGTGTTTCATCTTGCACCACCAGAGTAGTTTTTTATGCACCATGCCCACGTCAGACGCCGTCTACAAGCCAATCAGAGTCAAGTGTAGGTAGGTGATGAAGAGAGAAAAGAAATTAAAGGAATAAAATGTTTTTAGCCACTGATGCTAAGTCTCTCACCCTGAAGTCGTCTTATGTAACGGTTTCCTCACCGTACTGGTTCGTGTTTCAAAGCATCATTTTTCTACGTCGTGGACAATGACACACACACACACACACACACACACACACACAGTTGGCATGATGAGAGAATCCAAACAAAATCTAAAATCAAATTCACAAAGCGAAAACAGCGGAAAGAAGAAGAAGACTTTCTGTTCCATCAGTTATTTCTGGGAGCAAACGGCCTGAACCTGCGTCCGTCACAATGGTGTTATGATTCAGGCTGCGTGTTGCTTTGTGCGACCTGTTGTGTGTTTGCCATTGGTTGACAATGATATTATGACTGAGGGGTCGACACACAGAGGGTGGCACCTGACAGTGATGTAATCTCGACCTGCAGAACAACACAGGACTTCCAGGGTCAATGAATTAGAGTTTCTGATAAAGTCTCCACTGTGTTTCATTGTGATTCAAAAGAAACACCACAGATGTCTGATTCAGCAATTCTCCAGTGAGTCAAATTCCTGACTGGACAGCCAACGCAGGGCTCTTAATCTGGAAGAGCAGATTTAACAACGAGGGTGATTCTGCGGAAATTTGTCTCAGCTGGTAAATTTAGGTCTCTCCTGCGCCAAAGAGCAGATTCCTGCAAACGTCTTCACTTAACTAATTTTACAACATTTCTGTTAATTCTGGGAATCTCAGCTAAAGTTTATTTTCTTTTGTCCTGGAACTCTCGTCTCTGACCTGTAATGGAGACGCTTGTCTCAGTTGGACATCACCAAATCAAATAAGCAGCACGTTCAAGCTTCATGGTTCATCAGACGACTAACTTTTCAAACCAAAAGGTGAATAAGTGCATATGAATATGAGACATTAACAGAAACCTGCTAGAGAAGCAGATTAATCCTCAGAGTGTGTGTGTGTGTGTGTGTGTGTGTGATGCCAACACGGTTACCATGGTTACCTGTAAATGACCCCATGCCGGTGCAGGAACATCAGGGCGGATGTGACCTCGGCGGCGTAGAATCGGGAACGTGCCTCGTCGAACTTCCTAGATCGTTGTATCTGAAACATCAGGTCGCCTCCGTTGACGTACTCCATCACGAAGAACAAGCGGTCCTGGAGGAGGAGACGGAGAGAGAACACGCGATGCTTAAACATGAACACACACCTGCACATGCACGTGAAAATGGTAATGGATTAATATATATTAATTCATCTGTTCATTATTATAAATGATCAAAAACACTTCCATCTGATTCCCAGAGACGAAGACGACGTGGTTGAACGTCTATGTTCGACTTTTCTCGTTTGACTTGGTTTGATCCTCCAATTTCAAAATACTTTTGAGTATTATGATATGATGCAGTCATAAA